GGGCCTCGGCTCGGCTCCAGGCCGAGAATCTATATTCCAGAGGGAGTGTAGATCACCGCCGTTAACTGACTCATTTTAAGAAAATCACTTCTCGAGTCGTTTTCGGCGTTATTCATCTTGAATCGGTATGTGCTCGCAAGCGCGACCGTTATATCACGCTCGTTTGTTTTCGAAGGAATCTGTATTGCCTTTCGTAAATTCTATATACCTATTTATTTATTAGTCTGCCCTTGCGTTTGAATTTTTGTAAATTGTGTGATCGACTTTGGCATATTTTGTGTTTAACCTTCGCCAACGTTTAACCTTCGTGGATTGCCTAGCTTATTCGAAACAAATAAAACAAATAAAAAGGCTCATTCTTTCCTTATTATTATATAGGAATATGGAACAATTTGTAGATTATATCAATAGCTAGCATGAACATCATCTTGACTTGCGATACCTTGTAACGTTGTTATCTTTTTTTGTATTTAATATGTATCAAGTTGAAATTGTGTATAAATGCCTATTTTTTCTACAGGATAATCCCACGCCACTTGCAATTGGCCATTCGTAATGACGAAGAGCTGAACAAATTGTTGTCTGGAGTGACCATTGCTCAAGGTGGAGTCCTGCCTAACATCCAAGCGGTCCTGCTGCCGAAGAAGACCGGCACCGGCGGCTCCGGAAAGGGCGACAAAGCGTCGCAGGAATATTAGATTATCACACGTTTATAATTTTAACCGTAACTCTAGAGAGATGCCTTTGTTTCGTGAAACCGGTGTAAAAGGAACGAATGTCCTTATAAACCCGTATGATAGGACTGAATTTATACTGGAGATAAAAAATATGGAGGTCGATAACAAACGTTACATTGTCATATTGGTTTCCTTGTTAGTCCATCGTTTTCACGAATTCAAATCTGCGAACATTTTTTTTCCTTTCTTCTTTTTTAATCACGACCACTCGCAAGAATTTTCATTGTATTTTTATGGAGATATTTGAGCTAGATTCACGCTCTCTAACGCGTCTGTCCTTGATACTGTTGAAAGTATAATTGCTGCTTGACGAAATGTATTTGATAATTGTGTTTTGGTTAAAGATGTTACAGTGCTGAACGGAATCTTAAATTCCCGTTTCAAAGACCATACTATTAATTGTGACTGTTTTGTGACTGTTTTTCTGCATGTGATGTATTTATGATACAATTATATTATTTAAAAACTATTACAATTATATTCTTTCTGCATATATTTTTCTTTTTTTTATCTTTAGCTTCTCGTTTATTCTAATTCTCCAGTATTTTATTAACAATGAAGATTCGAAGATGTATTGCGAAAGCGCTTGAATGTTTTTGTTGAATGTAAACGATATTTAATGCAAAAATAAAATAGCATTGCGTCCTTACTTGAAGTTCAGTTTGCAGGTGTGTAATCCCAGTTTTAGATATAAATAAAACTTCGTTGTAGAAAGATCTCTTCGAGCTTTCGACATTTCATGTTCCATTTACTGTGAGATATCCTTTTTGTACATTTGTGATACAGCAACAGTCATAAATGAGTGAACCGAACGTTTCATTACGATTTTATTGTCTGCCATTATATTCGCGAAAAGTTATTGATCAATATTACATTTCGTATCGTTTGTTAATTGCGGAATGTTACTGAACAATCCTGCCTAAGTGTGTACGAAGAAAATGGTCGGAATGAACAGTAAATCGGAGTTTTTCCGTATTTCTGGGAAAACACGATAGAAATCTAGGAAAGGACAAAGGACTGAACAATTCCGATCGAGATTCAAAAAAATCTCACAATATTTGCTTGGATCGCGAATTCGAAATCTGTGCTCTTGAATCTACTGTCGCCATCTCGCAAACGACTCCGGGCCTGCGTTGAGGTTTCATAGCGTTTAAGTAGCGCGTCGATTCGACGTGACATTTAACTTTTGGACGGCAGTGCTCCGCGGTGAACGGCTTTTTCGAGGTGGTACATTCGCCGAACGTGGCAGCGAGCAACGCGAAATGTCGTCGGGCGTGATAGACATCCTCGTGGACATGGGTTTCAGCATGTCCAAGGCGTAAGTTCGTAGATAAACGTCGCGCCGTCGGGGCCTAACCTACGTTGACGTTTCGACGTCGTTTTTGTTGCAGCGAGAAGGCCCTGGAGATCACCGGCAACAAAGGCGTGGAGCCGGCGATGGAATGGTACGCGAACGTTGCTGCTACGACTCCCGTCCGCGTTGTGACGCTATCGATTTTTCATTTTAGGCTGCTGGCCCACTCGGACGAGGCCGAGTCCACGCCAGAACCCGTCGTAGGCGAGAGTGCCCCGGCGTTGGCTGCCGATGCACCGATACAGGACAACGTCGCTGGTGCTAGCAGCCAATCGGTATCTACGACTGAAACGGCCAAGTCTATGAAGTGCGACGTGTACGTTGAATTGCAAGGATAAGACTCCTAAACGGTGGAATATGAACGCTTGCTTAAGCATCGACTTTGACACGTTACGCTCTTCTATGGAATATCGCTGAATTTTGCCAGAGTACATACATGTCTTTTTCCAAAACTCTCTTTGCAGATGCGGAAAGCTATTCAAATCTAACTTGGAAGTTGAGTACCATGCCACAAAGTCCGGGCACGATAGATTTTCAGAAAGCACGGAAGAGAAGAAGCCACTCAGTGAGGAAGAGAAGCGGGAGCAGCTGAAGATGCTGGAGGAGAAGTTGAGGCAGAAGAGGAAGGAGAGAGAGGAGCAAGAAAAGAAAAATGCATTTGAAAGGGAAAAGAATAGGATACGATCGGGAAAAGAAATGTCTGAAGCCAGAAAGAAGTAAGGGACAAAATAATGAAATTGATAACAGAGATTGTATGCAAATTCTATATTTTATATATTTTTATATATATATACGTGTGTATATATATATATATATATATATATATATATATGTAACAGATTGGAAGAGTTAGAGATGCAGAAGCTCCTGGAGCAAAGAAAACGGGAAAAGGCGGAGGAGAAGGAAGCTAGGCAAAGAGTTCGAGCACAAATCGAAGCCGACAAAGCAGCAAGGCGAGCTAAAGCAGCTGCTGAAAGCAGTGCTCAATCAGTTATTAATACTACTTCGACCCCATTACCCGCAATATCTTCATCTGCGTCTGCGCATCATAGGAAGGATTACACTGAAACCAGGCTTCAGGTATTAATATAAATATAATGAATGAAATGTAAAAATATGTAGACCATGTATTCTTCAAACAGTTGCAATTTAGCTTAGGCTTACCAACGGGCAAACCTTGACACAAAGCTTCGGAAGTAAGGAACAATTGTCTGCAGTAAGACTGTTTATTGAAATGAATAGGACAGATGGTAATGGTCCCTTCCAGTTAATGACCACATTTCCCAAAAAAGTCTTTACAGATGAAGATTACGATACGCCATTGGACGTGTTAGGTATGCTGTATATTGATAATTTATTCTTATATATATATATATATATATTGGGATAATTATTATTATTTATCGGTGCAACGAATTCTATTAAGGGGTTACATACCTTTAGCAGGCCTAAAAGTAGGTAGAAATTAACGTATTTTTATTGTGAGTAAAATTATGTTTTATTAAAAAATAAAAATACATGTTTTGTAGAGTTGTCTTTAAAGAATATCTCCCGAAAATTTCAATTAAAAAACAAAATTGAGTCCTGGAAACTATTTTTTCGAATGGTATTTGTAAAAATGGCGTTTGCGGTACTAGAGATACCTCCGTTCCCTTTCATGTGAAACAAAAAACAAAAATTTTCCGTTAAACTAGATGAATAAAACTAGTTTTTGTCATAGCCGATTTTGAAAATGTTTATTTTTTGAAAAATGGCAACAATTTGTAGCAAAAAATGTGATTCTAATAATCGGTTTTCTTTTATTTATAAAAAAAACTAAGGAATAAGAGCCTTCGCACAAGGCTATCATATGGTAACGTAACGTAACGTAACGTAGGTCTACGCATAAGAAACATATACATATAACATTTTAACCGTACGTTTCTCCTGCGTTGACCCACGTTACGTTGCGCTACGTTATCATACGAGAGTGCTGAGGCTCTTAATCGAAAAAATCTTTATATAAATCACTAATTTCTGAGATATTTCTGGTACTGATATTTAAGGCTTTTGGATACTCGCCGCGACCATGTTGGAATTGTAACATCAGAAGCGAGAAATGACACGTTGAAAATTCTTATATGGTATTCCAAAATACCATACAAAATACCAAACTTTTCGGAATGGATTCCGAATTGTTTAGTTATTTCCTAGATTTCTATTGTGTTTTCTAGGGAAAACGGAATAATTCCGATCGGCATCTATTTCGAAAAGTTCCATAATACGTGCCTTGAAGTCATTCCTGTAGGAATCATAAATGAAAAATTGACTGTGAAAATCGCCTCAAAAGACCCACGGTGTCCGCGCAGTGTTAATAAAACATAATTTTACCCACAATAAAAATTTGTTAATTTTGACCTAGTTTTAAGGGATGTAACCCCCCTTAATTAATTATGCAATTTTATCAACCGTAATGTGATAACATCAAGTTGTAACTGTATCAGTAATTGTATCGGTTGTAATTACGATGTGCGTATTTATCATATATATAAGCATTTTTCCTGGAAACTGCACAAAGTATATTCTTGTTTTATTTACAGGCCTAGTACCCTCAGCAGTCGTGATCGTTCAAAAGAAGGTGGAATGATGTAGCCAGTAATGCCCTAATTTGTAAGCAAAAAATACTAATGTATATTATCATACAGATTAATTATAAGATAATGATAATCTAATATAATGATATTCTTTATTATAAATTATAGATTTACACTCATTGTGTGTGATATACGAATCTTTTTGATTTCTGAAACTGATTTCTTTGTAGTCTGCTTTTTCTTAACACAAAAATTATAAATTTATCGCAATTGAAAAAATAACGTTACGATTAAAAATTTAAATAATGAAACATTTGAGACTTGTATTAATATTTATAATTTTCAACGATACTACTTTCTGTTTCTACTGTTTCTTGTTTTCACGTTTCTTTGAATCTTGCAAACATTATTTAATCTAGAAATTATGATAACATCTCGATTTGAACTATATTTCCGATGTTATTTTTTTAATACTACACAGAGAGAATTTTCTCTTAGATTTTACCTTGAAAATCATGGTAGTTGTGGGACAACATGTATTACGAAGAATTTTATGCGAGCTATTCTGATTAATATCTACCATAATAAAAAATATTAATATCTATTACATTAAAATATAAAATGTATTTGATTAATTTTACTAAAATATATCGAGGAAATTTTAATAATTTTTCAAAAATTACCAATCTGCTTGGTAATTTTCATCACATTGTTTGTAAAATATCTGTTGTATATTTCAAAAATTTCTTGGTTGCCAAGTTGTCTCAAGTTTGTAGTGAATTTAACGATAAAATATAACGAAAAATTCTCTCCGTGTATTGATTAAAAACTCGAATCATACTATTTAACTTCTATAAAGATTTAGTGTTGATTTTTTTATATCATAAAATTTGAAATGGATCTGTATATTGTATATGTGATATAATTCTATTAAATTTTATCTCGCTGGCACACACAGGCACACACACACACATGCATACATAAATAATGATTTTAATATTACCGTTATGTCTGCGTCACATAATAATGTGGTACATGACTAGGATAGATTAGCTCTTTGGATCTACAGTTCGTAGGGAAATGATATATACCATCGCAGTTTACCAATTGTAATGTTTTGTCAAAACAAAGCCTCATCTCGATCACATATGACTCATGCGTTTTCTGGAAAAAAAGTATACATTTGAAGTAAAAACTATTATGTTTATTTTTTTATATCTACATCTTTTTTTTATATCCGACAAAAGAAAAAAAAACGATTTAAACGACGTTTATCTTGAAATAATTTTTGGACTTACGTCGTCAGTCACACACATTATTTGTCCTCTTGTATTCAATATCTTTTGAATTCCTTTCAACATATCTTGTACCATATATTTGTTACCCGGCAAGATATTTGCTTTCGCAAGTACGTCCATCATATTGTACTTGTCGAATAATTTTAATCCCGCTTCGAAATAATTAAATTCGTTATTTAAAGCTTTTACCGTGACTGCACAAGTGCCGTGTTTATCCCATTCGTGTTTCCAAAACGAATAAGGTTTAGACCCTTTATGGATATCGAGCCAATTTTCTTTTAATTCACTTTCTATAGGCGCTATAGCGCTTGGATTAAATACTAACGACTTGTTACAAAACTGTGGGCCTAATGTGTTATATTTCGTGGGCCAAATTCCATGGATGGTCCACTCGTCGTGCCTGGGTAACGAGCAACTGCGTGTGTCGGATTTATTTTTCCATACGAAACAAGCTGTCAACGGCCATTGCTGAGTAAATATCAGGACGTCAAATTCATTGGACGTTTGTTTTCTATACTCTCTTGTATTAAAGTAAATCCTATTAAAGATAAATAAAAGTCGTACATTATAAATTACAATTTATACAAATACAATTATTCGTAGAATGTTATTTAAAATTTAAATTATTAGAATTATATTTAAAAATTGAAAATTATCTATATTGATTTAGATCTTGCATACCAGGAAAGTCCAATGGGTCAATTAGAACGCTTACGTGATCTCTTGATTGAGCCAAAGAATAGCTTGTCTCGCGTGTGACTTAATTAAAATAATTGAAAGTTATACATATTTGTGCGCTATATCAATAGAATATCGGTAGATATCGATAGATATCGGTAGAATTCTTTGAAAAATGCGTTAGTAACACTTGTTGACACTTGCGTGCGTACGTTTGCAGGTGCTAACACCAATGTACTTTATCTTCAATTAACGTGTTGACCCAATGAGCCACATGATATTTACACAATATTTCAAACAATTTATTTTGACACCTTCATCATAGATGTACATCGTTTTACTCACCCATGCGTGATGCACAGTAGATAAAGCAAGACAATACACGACGCTATGCTGTACTTGCGCATTCTGTTGGGAAGTGAGAAATCGTTCTATGCGAAGAGAGAGAGAGAGAGTGGAGACTGACCCGAGGGAGCAACGGAATTAAAGGCACTTAACGCTCCCACCTTTTTCACTACCACCACCATCTTTACCGTTCTTTACATTGTCTGTTCGGACAGCGTATTTTCTACCTGATCTCGTCGCTGGTTCTTCGAGCGGCCGCATTATGAAAGCGCACCTGTATTTACCACTGCCACGTGAATGTTTCTAATAAAGTGCATATTCTTAACCACAAGCGTTAAACTAAACATATTTGTGTTTATTTATGTAATATTATACAAAATATAATTTGTAAAAAATAATTTAAGCTTGGTACAATAAATTTTAGAAGAATAACTTTTGTGATTGTGATGTATCTTTTTATAATATTTTTATGAATTGCGTTAAATATTTAAATAATAATAATCATTTCTTATTATTTAAACAATTAAGATATAATTGCTTCTAATTTGAGAAGTAATTACCGCTAATTCAAAGAGTGCATTTATAATTGAGAATATTATTACATTTTATTTAAAATCTTGTTAAAATTATAGTGTATATAATAATAAAAGAGTGTACGAAAGCTTGCTGGAATTAAATTAAACGGCCGTAGATTACACGTCAGATCTTCTAACATCGTTTATTTATATTTATATCGCCAGATGTTTTTCTTATTGTTCTACGACGTATGACGTATGTGACGTGTGTCCAATGATAAATAATAGTCATATTATCATTGTGCCAAGCTAGATGCTTAGACAAATTCTTGTAAACGTGTAATCGAATATGCGCAATAGCAATATTGATAGCAACGGTATTAGATGGCATTGCTATCTCTTATCATGATCTCTTATATAATAATCGTTTACAGTGAAAGAATAATTTTTTTATATTTTACACCGGTATTCTAACGTAAACTCTACGTGTCTTATGCAAAATCGAATTCGACGTTGTAATAGTTATATAATTTTGTGTAAAAAAAACCTTATCTTAAACTTACCTTGAGGCGATTCTTATGAAATATTCTAGCTTTGACGGTATGATGACAAAAATAAGAGCACATAATTTATTTTCTTTTTATTTAGCAAAAATTGTATAATTGATTGTTTATTTTATTTTTACAAATTATACTATTATATTATTTTCTGCCTTTTATAATTTTAGCTATAATTTTTCATTTTAGTTATAATTAATATCACGTTCGACATATCGTTGTATTGACAATTTTGTACCTTCGCTTCGTCGCAAATACATTTCAAGAGCACATTTCTAGAATGCGTTTTATTTACTTAGAGAGCACGCGTAATGTCGACACATCATGATACGAGCGAAAATGAAACATATGTGTAACTAAGCATCACATGTTGAAATGACTTTTGATTAATTTTCCTATTAAGTGGAGCATCTGGAAAGTTTTGTTTGGTTGCACCCTTTGCCTCAGCAAATAATATAAGATTCCCTTAGAAATAAATAAGATGACGAAAAGGGCGGATAAATCCAACCAGAAATTCGGAACTGTTTTCATACCTGGAACACAGACAAATTTACTTAAACACTTTGGATATTTACAGATTAGCATCGAAATAACGCGTGATGTGCGTTGTTTAATGCCTCCTAACGGGTACCAGAGCGACTAAACCGATCAGTAGGTTCTTACCTATGATTCGCATGAGTTCTGTAGGCGAGCTGAAATGACAATAAACTTCTTCCACTGGACAAGGTAGTCTCTGTCTATTGAAACCGTATACGGCCGCTGTGAGAGCCTCCAATGCGTACCGGATATAACTCATATACATTAGAATCGTTCGGTAGATCGGTCGAGGAACGATTGACTCACCAAAATCTTGCACCGCGATTAGCATCAAGGGACAACTTAATGCGGGTCCAGTGAATACACTATTCTGTAAAAGGACAATGGATCTTAGGAAAGTTTCTCCTTTCCTTTTGCAATTTTGAACGTACCTTGACATTAAACACACTGGCAATGTTGTGTCCTATGCTCTCCGCGATGAAGGCACACACGAAGCAAGTGCCGAAAAACATGGAACTTCTCTGCAACTCCAGGGGTTGCCCCGTGATAAGATAAACCATTGAGAGATATAAAACTGCGAAAAATATCTGGGAAAAGACCAAGAATAATTTTTAAAACGTTTGGATAGATAAACAGATTAGGATCAAGATTTAAAGTAAAAATGAGATGTAATTCTCTTTGCTAAGGGAAGTTTAAATTTTTCCCATAAAAATTACAATTGACGAAACCAGGAGCTATAGTTCACGTGGGACAATTTTTCTCCATCAGGAAGTTAAAATTTTTTATTCGGACGCCATCGAAGATATATAAAATATCCATACCATATAAAAGACAAATTATATAATTTACAGAAGACCAACCTGTGAAGGTATACTGACTACTGTTAAAGCCCAATAATATGCGCTAAAATTGTACCATCTGTTGAAGTGTTCCCGTTTCATCATCTGGATTTCTGAAGGAACTGCAATGAGAAAATAACGAGATAAAATACAATTTTGAGTTGATGTCTTGAAAAGTAATGTCTTTAATCATTTCTGTGTCTTTACGAATCGTGCCTTTAAGAAGAGATTTAATTTTTTAATATAATTATGGCAATTATACGACAAACAAATATCATAAAATCGTGTTATGCTTTTCGATTGTACGACGAACGTGCTTCCTTATGAAGAGATTTCCGCATCAAAGAAATATCCGTGAACATAAAATTGATAGGTAAAATTTCCGATCAGCCAGAAAATTGATTTTTATTTTTTTTATGCACCGTTTCTAATTTTCTACGCGCAGAGAATTTTTTCTTACACTGCAGCAGCACCGGTAGCATAGGTAAGTACAGAAAAACTATGATGCACGCAAAGCAAAAGCCGTAATTGAAGAGGGCCTTGGAGCCGTCGTTGCCCATATTAAAAAATAATCCGCCGATCACTAGTCCCAAAAAGATGTGGAGCGATATCTTCAGGTATATATAATTCTGTGAACACAAAGAAACCTGCTCTTTATGCGCGACTTCAGAAGAGATTTCCTGACCAAATATCTAATATTCTAATAACTTTGTTAGCGCTCTTATCGGATATACTATATGTTTATGTCTACTTTATATATATATATATATTCTTTTCATTTACAAAATAGCTTCAAGATCACACAGTATCGTTTCTTACGTTAGTGGATTCTCTCATAATACAAATCACTTGATACTTAGCATACTAATCTTAGTAAACAAAATGATAGCAATTATAATATGCTAGTATAGTTTGCTATATAGCAGATTTGAATAAAATGTTGCGATGCAAATTGGCATCACATTGCGTTCACATTAAGCTCATGTTCTACTATTAGTCAATATAATTTGATAATAGATTGCCAATAGAAACCAAACAGAATCTATCATTTAAATGGATATAAAGTAGCCGCATTTAAATAGATATATCATTGCGAAATGACAGAAATTCTTTTTATAATATTTCTGCTGACATTCTACCGACAAAATTTATAGCAGACACTTTGCAAAATTTATTTTCGACAGATTTTACTACCTGTAGCGGGATTCTGTCAGGTATTATATGTGATAAAGGAGCTGTGCAACGATACTGAAACTGTCGTTAAGGAGTTAAAGAATCCCGCTTCATGGAAAGATAATATATGTAAAATACACCGATCTTACTCTGTTTCGATAAAGCTGTAGCATCATTCTCCTCACTAGCGTGCCGAATTGATAGATCCACGAGATTTTCGGGATCTTTTGGTCGAGGTCAAACTCGCTCTTCGATCGAGGAATCGGAAGTAGCGGTTGCTTCGTCTTGACACATGTAATCATCCGGTCGATCCAATTGAAACCATATTCACCCGACGCGATCTCTATTACTGAAATGAATATTCGACGTTAATGTAATTTTGTTAACATAATTGTTTTTATCCAAATCAAACTATGTATTTTTAATTAATTAATTCCTAATTCTTAAAAATTAAATTATAGATTATTAATTTTTTATTTTTATAATCTTCTTTGCATTATTTATGAAAAGAGATTTCGGAGCTCGATGGAATTAAATCGTTTTTGATCGAAATCGAACTACATATAAATCCATAATTAATTAATTTTTAATTTTTTTAAATTAAATTATTATTAATTATTAATTTTTATAATCCTTTTTGCATTATTTATGAAAAAAGGTCTCGGAGTTTTAGATAATGCTTTTTTCGCCTACATTTTACTCAATGATGCAAATAAAACTATAATACCCGTATCATGAATTGTAAATCTTAGAAGTAATTTAAAGCATAGCCAATGGCTACAGTTTCATCCTTCAGATGTCCATCATTATCTCACACGTGTTGCTTCGCGAAGCGAGAAACGCGATTGCATAGGCGACGGGTTCTCGAGTTATATGCGTGGTTATGCGAGATTATATATATGGAGAAAATATTTCGTTATATTTTACCGCTAAACTTTCACGACAAACTTGGGACAATTGGCAACCAATCAAATATTATCGGTAACGATAGAAAATTTTTAAATATACAAAAGAATTATTTTACAAACAACGTAATAAAAATTACCAAGCAGATTGGTAATTTTTGAAAAATTATTGAAATTTTACTACATATTTTAGTAAAATTAATCAAACATATTTTTTATATTTTATTGTAATAAATATTAATATTTTTTATTAGGGTAGATATTAATCAGAATAGTTCGCATAAAATTCTTCGTAATACATATAGATATTATCCCATAACTATATATCATAATTTTCAAGGTAAACTCTAAGAGAAAATTCTCTCTGTGTAGTGTATAACTAACTCACTAAAGTCCGCTGGATTGTAATGTGTCGGGCATTCTAGGCCTACATTTCGCAAGAAAGGCACTAGGTTGCTCGCGGTGTCCCTGTAAACGCATTGTCCGTCGGTCATGACGTAAACGTGGTCGAATTTCTGAAACGTGCTCGCGCTGGGCGTGTGCACCGAACACACGACAGTCCGCCCGAAACGCGCTAGCCTCTGGAGAACATCAACGCACTGGGCAGAAGCGATCTCGTCCAGTCCACTGAAAGAAAGAAAAAGATATCTCTTTTTGACACTTCTGTGATGACTGATGACAATACGCTTCGAGAGCGGATGAGTCTGATGGCGGAGTCTCTCCACGCGAGACTTCTTTGTCGTCGTTAAAAGTGCATAATTAGTATCTGCGATCAACATAGTCCGGGTGAGATGTGAAAATATTTACCGCGAGCAAATGTTTGCTGTCTCGAACGTTTATTGTCAAATAATTTTCTTTTATGCGCGTGTGTGCTTATATTTATATGCGTCTGGTTATTCCGTCATCTAGCATGCATGCCGTAACTACAAGAAGGAGAATCGATGATCCTATCTGCAATCGATTTCTAAAATTCATTTTAATGATTTTGTGATTTTTAACATATATAGCTTTTCGACGGATTTCTATTGACGTACGAGACGCTTTTTTAAATCTTGTTAGAGAGACGTGATGGATGAATAATAAAACATTTATGTATAATATTCTTCAGTTTTTGCTTCATGGCAAATAGGCGGTCTCTTGAGATCAGTTTTTACTTCTTCTTCGAATGCATTTATAGTTCAACGAAGCAGAGTTAAGACGACAGAATGATCTTAGCATAATCGAAATTTAATTCCTGATTAGCAATTAGTAATTGGATAGCAATAAAAATTGATATAATAATTCAGCGAATAATAATACGATTTTAGATAATAGATTTAGAATAAATTATCGATTCTCTCCTGCATTTTAGATTTTTGCAGTTGCAGATATTTGCGTTGTCGAGATACCGAGGCATCACTGTGACATTACACATTTCGCAATTGTACAGTGATTTTTGTTATATATATGTAACCATTGTTTAAGTTTAAAACAATAGTAAATTTACCCAATTGTTAAAACAATAGCTCCAAAATTTCTCTTATTTATTACACTCGCGTGATGATAGAAAAGAGAGATAAATCCTTGATAAAACAGCAACAAATAATATTTAGATAAAATTTAGGAAGTAGGAGTATGATTCACTTGTTTCTCTATACCTATCTCATCAGTTTTTATCGTTATTTACACACACACACATATTTTTTTTTATTATTTATTATGATATTAGAAATATATATATATGTATTTTGTATTATTTATTATGACATTAGATATTAGATATATATATATATATATAAATGTGTAACTTGTGCAATATGCAACTTACATGTATTTTTTGAAAAGCAACAATTAATGTCAATTCATCAACAATTCATCTTATTATTCTGTACCTAAAAGTGGTAAGGTACAGTTACAAAAAATGAATAGTTTACGAGATACTTCATATTTTATGTCAAAATGTGCCAGAATAAAACATGAAATATCTCGTAAAAACCATCAATTTTTTGGTAAATGTGCCTTTTAATACTTTTATATAAATATGTAAAGTAATTAGAAGAATCATGTTATGAAAAAAATTATATAATTCCATTTTTAAAAATGACAATGACCTTTATGTGACCTTAAAAAATGTATTCTTTTGAAAATTGGTTTTATCTTGTTTGGTCTTATTTTCTTTTAGTCTGAAATGTTTTTCCATATCTTCCATATTTTTCGAGATATTTGCCCGATTATAGTTAGTTCCGAATTTTAGAATAAGTGCCTGCGGAATTCGAAATGTACTTGTAAGTTGTAAGCAGTTTCTATCGTAAAAAATAGGATCTTTTATAAGTAGTATTCGAATATATTATCATAATTATAATGTAAAATTGTAAGGGGAGAGTGGTATGAAAGACCGGTATTCATAGTCGGATCTTACATTTAAGACCGTCTTAAATACGATCATAAAATAATATCCGACCATGAATACTGACCAAAGAACCATGTTTTAAAAGAACCATCGCATATTTGACTACATTCACTAACAATAAGTAACTGAATGTAGCAAAAAATTTTAATTTGATAGCAACACGAAACTACGTTATCTATAGATATTTGACAGTCAACGTCAAAACGGCATTGCCGTTTATTACGACAAAAGGTAAGTTTTTGAGTTAAATTTCCACGTCTTTTATATTTATTTGCGATTAGCTTTTAGGAGAAAAGTATTTTTTTAGTCGAATACTATGTACACTAACCTAATCTAACTAAAAACGTATAGTTACTCACGAACTCTCTTTTGTTTGGTTTGGTTTATTAGATATTTTGTGGTTAGATTTTTGACACATAATGTTATGAAACAGCCGGTGTTGAGAGAACGACAATATAACTGCTGTGTCCGTTCAAAAGATTAGTCTGTAAGATAAATGAAGACTGCTGTCAGTGCAAATTGACTGGTTGAGTTCGTAACTCATATATGGCAATATGGAAAATTTTCATTTTTTTGTAATAAGTGTTTTTGATTAGAAATGTTATATTTTCTAATATCTTTCAGATATTTATTAGTTTCTTTTTAAAGAAGAATTATTAGTTTTTTCTAAGAAGATAATTTTTGTTAAAGGATAACATGTTTTGATTTTATTTGTGTTATTAGCTAAAAGCGTTAAGTTTAAACTATAAGTAATTTACAGTACCCAGCTCTCTCAAAACAGGTGATGCCTTTTTCAAAGCCATGTTGTGTTGAAACTGTTAAAAGAGCCAAATTCTCTATTTAAAAAAAGGTGACAAAAATCTGTTAATGACTAAATATTATTTTTTTATTAAATTTATCTTATAGATAAATAAATACACTCAAGTTAAAAAGCGGTTTTATTTCATTAACACCAGGTTAAATACTTTTTTTCATATTTTGAAAAATACTAGCTCTTTCATGCTCACTTTTCCCTGAAAATAAAGAGATATTTGTGTGTACACAGACACACATTACGCTTCACACATTAAATTTCTAGTAAAGTACTCATAAAAGGTTCGAACATATTTGATCCAGGTTCGAGGTCTATTTGGAAGTAACACTCCTGTTTTTCGAGGTACTCATGAAGGGTTGGAATCCATTTCGTCCAGGTTTAAGTATACTTGAAGCTAGTATTGCTTTTATTTTTCGAAGTAATCATACACGGAGATAATTTTTTCTTAGAATTTACCTTGAAATCATGGTATTTGTGGTACAACATGTTACGACGAAAAATTTTATGCAAGCTATTCTGATTAATATCTACTATAATAAAAAATGTTAATATCTGTTATATATACATATTAAAATATGATTAATTTTACTAAAATATATGTAGGAAATTTGCAGATTACCAATCTGCTTGGTAATTTTTATCACACGTTGTTTGTAAAATGTCTTTTGTATATTTCAAAAATTCCTTGGTTGCCAAATTGTCCCAAGTTTATAGTGAATTTAACGGTAAAATATAACAGAAAATTATCTCCGTGTAGAGAGTTTGAAATTGCGCCAACAGATACGAACTGTATTTGTCGGATATTTAATCTCATCAATAATATATTCGCATAATATATCGACAGCTATTATGATACGAAGTGACATATATGATCCTCTTATGAATGGTAAGTTATTGAGGTATATATGTAACTAGGAAATTAAGATAATCAGTTCTAATTGCGATTAATACTTACGTGGTCGGTTCGTCGAGGAAAATGACAGGCGGATTATTTACGAGCTCGAGTGCGATTGACAGCCTCTTTCTTTCACCACCGGAGAGCCTGTCTGTGATTGTATTTCGCGTTCCGGTTAATCTGAGAGTACTTAAGATTTCCTCTATCTGAAACCAATTGTTGATATTATGCGAAATGTATCTTCGTGATTTATTTTGCGTGCAATTTGCGCGGTAAAAAAAAGCGCTTTTGATCACTCGATGTTACACATAAAAACATACTGAACTGCCGGACGTTACGCAATTTTACTCGTAAAAGCGTAAAAAAAGAACATTTATAAAGTAATCAAATACTACTCCCGAATTTGACTTGTGGAAAATTTTTTAGCTTTTTTTCCTTTTTTGATTGCGATTCTATCGAAATTTTGTTTACGAGTTGTAAAATACGTTATTTTACGAGTTGTGGGATACGTTTAACAATGTGGCTGACAATAGTATATTGGTTCTTCAATGAGATTAGCATTTCAGGTTAAAGTTCTTCGAACGAATTATTGAAATTAAACTACATTATTATCAGCACAGAATTACGCAGTAGTATTGCAAGAAAAAACTTAATCGCAGAAGAGAGAGGGAGAGATGATTATACACGAGTTGCATAAAAAATAGCTGATATGTTATTTAATTTTAAGAAATATCTATCCACACGTCGTTTATCTTGTAAAGTGCAGTTTCGCTGTGTATTACTCTCTCGTGTTGTCTTCGAATTTTAAATCATTTTATTGCTGTAGAAAAAAAATTGTATGATTTTATGGCATTTTATGGCCGAAAATTTGTCGTTGCTTGCCACTTTTAGTTTTACAATAGTCTGACGCATTGCGTTATTAAATTGCGTTTTTTCTCAATCCGTTCGTCTTCCAGTATATAGCTGTGATATAAAGGCCGAGATCTCTACTTACAGCGGCGCATTTCTGAGATTTCGATTTCCTTTTGCCGAGCTTTAAGTCGGCGGCGAAGGACATAGCCTCATAAACTGTGAGATTTGGTTGTATGAGATCGTTTTGCATGATGTAACACGACATCTTCTTGAATTCATGCATATCCCGCAGTTGTCCATTTATATTTATCGAGCCACCTATGTCCGTGCATCTGTAACCGGAGCAGCTTTATTTCACTTTAATTGCGCATATATATTGAAAGAGAAAAGAAAAAACGTCGCACGTTTTTTGTGAAGCGCCGGAAAACTTTTTGCCGCTTGTCACTTCCTTTGTATTAGGATACAGTTTGTAGTAACGCATTGCATTAATTTTAATATCATTGATTATTCAGTCGATGTGTCACAGGTCAATTTCGAGGTCAACAATCATTGAAGTTTAGTAAAAAAGTTTTTTTGCAGACTGTAGTGTTTATCCGATGAAACCTCGCATGAATGCTGACATAGACAACTAATCCCGGTTAATATAATCTCCGGCAAATGAATCCGAGAAGAATATTATATCCGAATGGAAATGTAAAAGCAAAACGATGTTATACTATTTTGACATTTATGTAGTATTGAAATGTATCGAGTTGTGTTAGCGCAGATGTGTGTGTCGCGTGTCGCGCGCGTGTCGCGATGCCGTGTTGCCATGCGAAGAATCTATTAGAGAGTCGATCGTCTAATGACAACAGAGCGTTAATTTGTGGAGAGTCGTTTTTCGAAAGCAAGCGAGCAAAGGGCGTTCGTTGTCCAGGGAACAGTAACAGAGAAGTTTTCGAGCCGAGAAGTCGAATTGTAACGTTTCGCGTAGTGTGTAGTTTCGGAGTTTGAACGAGGCTCAGCCTCAGCGTAGATCGAGCGAGAGTGTTAACGTTCCTTTTGTATCTCTCATATTCTGTTATTCTCATCCTATAATAAACATTATACCGTTCTTATATCCTTCGAAACATTGGATACCATCTTTATTCCTACATTTACATTGATAAAATCCTGATCGTTAGATCACTGGAAAAAATAATAAGTTATGTATTCTGATCGTTCTTTCATGTTGGTTTTTTCCAATGGACCATTTCTTGTGCAACCATGGAATAATTAGTTATGAACATCATTATGCATTTATGCAGTTAGAGACTCGTTGATTTCTCATCGACATTTAATTGAGCTTCAGCGGCTAAACAACGCGAGGAAGATAATAAGACTACACCGATTAAAAAATATAGCTGAAAATATACTATAATTACACTATAATTTATAGTATTTTATATATTACTAGTTTATATTACTAGTATTACAATAGAATTTACTGTAAAAATGAGTATCCCGACTATAATTTTTTACCATGCAATTATACCTAATTTTATTATCAACTTTATTATCAGTAACCAATTTCATTTGCTACTCGATTAAATAATTATTAAAATTCGCGATTATTATACTGACTTGTATCCCGCGAGAACGTTGAGTAGCGTCGATTTTCCAGCACCGGATGGACCCAGAATCGCCGTCAGCTCGCCCGACTTGAATTGTCCGCTGAGTCCTCTCAGAAGCATCTTCGATTCTATAAATTTAACAGAAAGTTAAGCGGTATTTTACGCAAATAACAACGATTTTTTGTGATTAAAGTATCGGAAACATTTGATGTGCAAGGCAACGCACTGCCGGATGGAGATAATTACCATGACAACCTTATTTTAGTAAGCGACTATAAAAGTTAATTGTCGATAGACTTTATTAGTAAGGCGATGTATAGGTGATGAAGTTATTATAGTGTCATCGCTCTGACTTTACATAAGATGTATGAGGTAAGCGAAAAAGAGACCTTTGCGCATCTCCTTGAGCTCATTAGCGATACCATCCGTATCACTCGGTCACGAAGACACATTCTCGTCTGCTTTATCGTTTTTATAGGTATATTACCGGAATTCTTTATTACAAGCAATAAAGAACTCAACTCTGGATAATTTATTCGTGCTGATTGATCATTAAAACAGTGACCATATCATATCGTGTATAAAAATCTTTTAAAACTAATGTTTATTATAGAAAAACTTTTTATCATTGGGTTTTGTTTAAAAGATTTATTATTCCACTAAAAATTGAACGAGTTTTAGCGATAATAAATACTTATGATTTTATTATTAACAAAATAATCATTTCAAGGTATGACAAAAAAGTAACCGCTTTAGAATTAATTGTAGAGTCTTCGCGTTGCGTATAACACGTACAAAATGTAAACAAAGAACTGTTTATTACTGCGACCTGTGACTTAAACCCTGTGTCCACGATACTAGAAATCGCTCCGAGATTTCGGACGGAAAAAAAATGGATCAATCATATTTAAATAATTCGGCAATTGACCAATGCGATTGGTTAATTCTTTCTCCGTCCGAGATCTCGGAGCAATTTCTAGCATCGTGGACACAAGGCTTAACAGTTCCTGGTTCACATTTTGAACAAAACGCAGTATGTAGAAATATATTGAATATGACTGGTCGACAAATTTCTTATCAGGTTCAAAACCTGATTATCAAAGATAATGTAAACGCGATGTATCGCAGCGGCAGATCGCTCAGAAATATGAAATTAGCAAAAACGCTATTCAGAAGCTTTATAAGAAGTTTTTAAACACAGTGGCTGATCGGTCTGGAAGAGGTAGAACGCCCAAAGCACAACTTGGCGTGATGATGCAAACATCATACGAATGGTGAAGAAAGATCCGAGGACAACTGTCAGAAATCTTTGTGAATCACTCCATCTGACCATTTCCGACCGGACAGTGCGCAGGAGATTGCGGGAAGCAAATCTACAGAGCCATATTACACGTAAGCGCCCATTAATTAGTAAAAAGAATAAAAGGAAGCAACTCTCGAATTTGCAATAAAGTATGCAAATCAACCTGTGGAGTTCTGGAAACCTGTGGAGTTCTGCGGACGGACGAGAGGAAGTTCGAATTTTTTGGACTGCAATAGGCAAATGCTAGCAGAATACCGGTAATATGCCAGCAGATCCAAATATAAATATGCAACAGATACCTGTCCACTACGTCCTCATTAATTAAGCTTATTTTCTAGCAGTATGATTTGCTGCCACAATATGTAAGCGCAGAAACGCAGCAAAAACCATGCACAACGTGTCGTCACAATCTACTATTATATCATGATGTCAGATTTTGGTAGATTTCTGTTTCATTTTCTACGTATATATCTGACACGGCAGATCATGCTTTGCTACTACCAAAATTATGCCAATATGGCATACGGCACACAATTTGTAAATCCTGCTGTTAGCAGACGTGGCTATCTGGCGAAGAGCTTCAAGATCGTTACCTCCAGGAGACGGTAAAACATCGCGGAGGTAACATCTTGGTCTGTTTTTCTTGAGAAGAAGTGAGTCAATTAATAAAAATCCGTGGTATCATGACTGCTGACACTTAAATTGATATTTTACATGAGAGAAGTTGGAAGTTTCATTGATCCAATTAGGCTTGGAGAACAACAAGTTTATTTTATAACAAAATAATGATCCCGCCAAGCATGTCGCAAAAAAAAAAACAGTAAGAAATCTCTTACCTCCCATCACATAAAACTGCTTGATTGGTCTCCACATTCTTTATATCTGAATTCCATCGAAAATTCATGATCGATTTTAGACGAAAATGTGAACAAAACCGGAGTTATAAAAATAATTAGTTTGATGAGCTGCAACGACTTGAAAAATCTCGTTCTTAATCATTTGCATAATCTAGCTGGTCAAAAATATGCCCACAGACAGTTGGCGGCGGTCATTAAGGCCATACAAAGGAGGCCATACAATAAATAACTAAGTTTTTTCAACTATAGATTAAGAGTTATAAAGTGGTCACTTATTTTATCATACACGAAAATACTTGTTTTGGTAAGATAAAGTTATAAGTTCTTGTTGTTGCAAAAATTCTTTCAATTTTTAAAACAAATCTTTAGTGTGATAGTAATCCTTTCAAAAAAGCCCCATAATAAGATGCTTTTTCATTAAAAACATTATAGTTTTAAGAGATTTCTGTGTACGATATGGGATGGCAGTGTTGGGCATCAATCAATTAAAGCTTTAATTAATTAATCAATTGATTGAATATTTAATTGTGGCATTTCAATTGCGATTATTTAATTGCAACTAACCTTTTAATTGCAATTATTTAGTAATCACATTACATTAATAACAAAATTGCAAATCAGAATTATTACATGCTATATTTTATTGAAACTTCTTTGCCTCTTTCCTCGTTTGTCATCTTATGCTATAAAAAAATATATATATTCTCGCAAGGACATATACAAACAGTCAGTAAGAATGTCTAGTCTTTAAAATAAATAGCACACATTAAATCATCATCACAATAAAAATTAATTGTTAATTGCACTGACAATTAAAATTAGTAAATAATTAAATAAGTAGTTTTAATTATAAGGACAATTAACAATTAATTAATTTTAATCATATATCATATAAAACAAATACATACACTCACAACTAACTAATTTAATTGTCAATTGCAATTAACAGTTAAAATTTTAATTTTTAATTGTTAATTGTCAATATGATTTAATTGTGCTCAAAACTGTGGGATAGTTATTTTATTATGCCAGTCACTGTACTTGTGACGTGAAAAATGATTAATTGTACTACGAACGGGCGAATCTTCTAACGTAAGCATAATTTAATATTATTCGATATAGAAGTTGTTTAAAGTACAGACTCGATTACACTTCCGAGAAAAAAAAGTGGGTATAGTATCTTCAGATGTAAAAATATATTATTAGGTATGAAAAAATCTAAATAACATGTAATTTTAAATAATTATATATAATTAGATCCGAAATTTGGCGCGATATGATCTTATCTTTATATAATTATAATCGGCTTGACCTGATTATGACAGGGTGTTTCAGAATTGCGCACGGCACTATTTTAGAGGAACATTTTTTAGGTCAAAATGAACAAAAAAGTTTATATAAATATATGTCTTAAACTTATTTATTAATAAGATATTAAAGAGTAAAGATTACGTTTAACGTAAAACATTTAAAATATGTTTTCGAAGTGGCCACCGTTTTGTTGAATTCTTCTTGCGTGCCAATAGGTCTATAATAAACTAAAACTTCATTCAACCCCATAGAAAATAGTCTAATGGCGTTAGGTAAAGGGGGTTGAATAAAGTCTTTAGTTTATTGTAGACTTATTGAAACGCAAGAAGAATTGAGAAATCGCATAATGGAAGCTGCAGTAACTATTAGGAATATTCCTGATGCCATAAGACGTGCCAGAGAAACATGAATACATCATGCTGCATTCAACAAAACGGCGGTTACTACTTTAAATGTTTTATTGTTAAACACATAATCTTTACTCTTTAATATCTTATTAAGGAGTAACGCCACTCTAGAGTCCCAAAAAAGCCAATTTTTGATAATTTTTTTCAGAAATACAATAATCATAAATGAAAATCGGTTTAATTCTATTTATTATCTATATATTAAAGTATAAAAAAATTTTTTTATTATTTATTGCCAAAATAACGGCACCAGAGCCATTGCTCCAAAGTGCCTTTTTGCGGAAGGCGTCCAACGGGCGGAATTGAAGCTCCTATAATTTCTGAGCTGGAACAAAAATTCAAAGATTTTTGAAAAATATATAAGTTTTTCTACAGAAGTACCTAGGGGAATTGCGAAATATCATTTTTTGTAAGAATGGTCCATGTTGGAAAAAAGTGCTTTATTTTTCGCTAAAAAATGTCGCACAAAATTGTTTATAAAAAAAGTTTTGTTCAACTTATCACAAAATCCCTAGGTACTTCTAAAGATAATGTTATTGTAAAGTTTCACTCAAAATTTCAAGTCAATCGGATAAAAGGTGTTCGAGTTCTGATTCCGCCCGACTTTAAAAAAGCGATTTCGAGAAAAACGCGTTTAAAGTTTCAGTTTCACCATTCACAGATGTGAACGCGGCAGCAGACGGATTACGAAAAAGGGATAATAGAGATTTTTCCGAGCTTTGAAACCAAGTGTACCTTATTTCTAAGACCTTAAATCGTTTAACAAAAAAAAATCGATTTTTTGAAAATTCTAGAGTGGCTTTACCCCTTAATAAATAAGTATGGGACATATGTTTATATGAACTTTTTTGTTCACTTTGACCTAGAAAATATTTCCCTAAAATAGTGCCGTGCAATTCTGCAACACCCTATATATGACAACAGACCTGGTTGAAAATGATTATATATGACAGATCTGGTTGAATATGATTATGTATATATAATCATATTCAACCAGATCTGTTGTCATATTATATAATAAGATCAACCCGAATATGATTATATAAAAATAAGATCATATCGTGCCAAATTTCGGATCTAATTATACATAATCATTATAAAATTACATGTCATTTAGATCTTTTTATATCTAATAATGTATTTTTATAAATATATATAATTTATTAATTAGAAATATCTCGATTTATATAAATTAAAAAAAGTTCGATATTTGCAATTAAATAATTTACGTCGAGGAAATGTATAATTAT